AAATACGGATGCAGGTATGAATAATATAACCTTTTACTCCCCTCTCAGTCCCATAGGATGAAGGGCGAATCCAGGTGCTTCATTTACTGTAATGGATTGATGGATCATCTTTGCACATGCTCCTCTATCCCATCCGGTAGCTCCCTACCCTGGTACAAAAAGCCGGGGAACTTCGTGGGCACATGGGTGGGTTTCAATTGGCCACATCCACCTGAGTTGTCCTCAAACTGTATTTTACACACTCGGAATGCACATATCGGAGTTGTTTCTCGAAATTCTTTGAGATTAACCGTAAGGTTCGATGAACTCTTGTCGTACTCTTTTCATACGTGGTTTAATGCCAAATGCGCTAAATGTGCTTCGTGTCTACTAAACATATGCGGTGAGAATAGGTTTCATCGGCTCCATCTGCTTATTGTTCTCGGTCTTTGGTTAATTGCTATCCAAGTCAGCAAAAAGTATAGTATCGATCAATCAACTGAATAATTCGTCGTTGCCGTTGAGTTTCCCAAATTTCAAATCAGTGTTTTTACTTTTGGGCATTTAGTGTTTTTGTTCATCATACGATTTCTATAAGCGTGCACTGTGGCTAGGTTATTCTTTTGTGCAATTCAACTCGAAATGCTCCTCACGAGGGCCTTTTCGGATTCCATCGCGGGCGCAATAATGTGGTCTCTCCTTCCCTGATCAAACATCGGGGCTTCACTTGAAAAGAATCATCCAGTCTTCCAAGCACAGCCCTCTATTGAGAAATAGTGCCTACTTGCTGCTAGCCTCAATATTTTCACGTACTTTCAAATGCCATTGCGAGTACAGTCTAATGTGTCCCGCTTTCAGATCGGGTCGGCAAAGAATTTCAGAAATTGAAAAGGAATCTTCAAAGCGGCTTCCTAACAGTTCCCATGGTAGATCTACTTGGAAGGCCGACCACAGTTTAGTGACTTAATTCCTGTCTCTGTCGGAAAGTTCCAGAAGCCTATGAAAACAATCGCGGTTTAGACTTTACAACCCATTAAGTCCACTTCGGAAACATCGCTATTCGGTGAAGCCTACTAAGTAACATGCTTCACCCAACCCAACCTATGAAGGTGAGGCAATTGCTCCGATGAGCAATCGCAATTGCCCCAGCATGGCTTGTGCAGTTGCCCCACCAGAATCGTACCATACAGCGTGAATAGCTATGACCCATCTTGTTCTATTGGCGGCACCGCACGAGCTTCTGCAGTTCAGTTCATATCATACCATTCTAACGTTATTCGTTTTTTCATATCACTTATTGAAATTGTGTGAAGATTTAGGCCTCGTTTCGGTTATCTTTACCCATCTATCGCTCAGTTAGTGTTTTTCATTCTCACAAAGTTGTGATATCATTCAGAGATCATTTCACGCCTAAAGGGAGCTTGTTATTGTTCACTGGGGGTGTAGATCATCAATCAGTGAAATGCTCTCAGTGCAAAAAAAGATTTAGACTTTAATCAAGTGAATAATGGAGTATATTACTAGAACAGGAAAGAGGGTGGATATAAATGCACAAAATACAGAATACAGAATAAAACAAGAATTGTAAAATAAACTGGAGTTCCAATAAATGACACTCATTTTGATGAGTTTCAGGAGGATTTGTCCTGTTTGTTTGTCAGTTTATCTAAGGTTTCTGAAATGAAATGTGCAGAGACGACATGCAGTCTAGGTCTGGGTCCGCGTTTCTGAATTCAGGGATTGGGAAATGAGGGCCCGGGAAACTTGGGCACCAGACTGGAACTCAAGAATCACTTGGAGATCTTAGAACTAGGACGCTATCTAGAAGTTGGCAGTCATCATCACCGTACAGCGAGATACAGTGAAGCGAACGTCACTGATCGCTGCTAAGCTCACAATGTACACAAATTAATTGATAAGATACAAAATGGAGAGGGATGGGCCCTAATTGGAGGTAGGCAAAAAAGTGAACCTCTGGTCGCAGAGTACTCAATCTAAGTATGCATACATACCCCTTCAAGTATTCCAATGTGATAACAAATGACAACAACACTGCTGTCAATTAGTTGCCATATTCTTCGGTGTCTACAACCCACCATTTACAGTCTTTCGAACCCCAACCTGAAAGACGGTAGATGCCTGTTCTACCTAATCGCTCCGTGCATTTTTCATGCCTCGTTTCCACGTCGTCTGTTGACCTCCATTTGGTTTCTTCCAGCTTTGAGCTGTAACTGCGAATAAAGCACGGTGCGGTAGACGATGACTGGGCATGCGTAATAAGTGTCCTAACCAGCGAATTCGATGAAACAATTCTCCATCGGATCATTACAAAATGTGCGATTCCTTACCTGAGAGCTGCTGACACGTTTGCTCCATCCAACCCGCACCAAACAAGGGAAACATCAGCAGTCTAAGACTGTTAGATGACGAATATCTTACACGCGCAAATTAAGGGTTCCGCAATCGTAAAGAAGAATTGATCGCACACTGGTGCATTATACACGACCTTTCAGTTGCAACTACCACGTCTTCAACAAGTGTTTCAGTTTTGCGTAAGCTGCTCGAGCCTTGGAAATCCGGGTGGGTTCTTCCTCGACTACGCTACCGTCATTTGTCGCGCAACTATCCAAGTAGGAGGAAGAACCTACTGTAGCTAGCTCTTGGTCAACATGCATCAGCGCTGGGGTAGGTGACACCCAATCTTGTAGCATCACGTTGCACTTTGAAGGCACAAGGCACATACCGAATGAAGTTATATAACTTGAAAATCTGTCTGGAGCGCTCTGCGCATCCTTCATACATTCGAACAAACAAACGACTTCAGCATACTCCAACTCATAACTTTTCTCCAAATGCCCATTCAATACCGATATTTTGGAGACCACTAAGTGCGTGCTTCAGTACTTCCTCTACAACGAAATTGAATAAGAATGG